TGAGAAGGGTGGAATATAAATGTTTTAAATAAATAAATAAATAGAACTGTGAGTAACTCTGTAAGTATGGTGTTTCTGATAATACATATATCCCATACAGGCTTCTATATGGGATATATGTATGGGTAGTCCAGGTTCGTACTACAGAAATAGAATCTACTCCAGTTTTAACTAAACTTTGTCAACAAATATAAAAAACAAAACAATGGCCAACAAATTAGAAATGTTTAATTCTAATCCCCAAGAAAGGGAACCCTATGAATAGTCATATTAATTGTTTTAATATTTAGTCAAAAAGGAAGGATCAAATGTTCTTGCTCTTCCATCCTTCCAACCTATGTCTTCTTCCACTGGATATATTCACTAACACCATTCATATACCAGCTGCTGTCAAGCTCTATGTGGTGTCAAATCCTGTGTGGTGCCGCTACAGCCAGAAGCAGGGAGGAAATCATTCTTATTACACATATTTCCAAATGTTCAAGCACTTTAGTTTTTTCTTATGCTGTCTTGTGTAGATCAAAACTGTATATGCCTAACATAGCTGTAGGGTAATTTTTCAAACACTTTTGAAAGATATTCAGTGCCATAGCTTCCCTAAAGGATGCCTCATCAGATGAGGAAGAGGCCTTACTCTGTAGCAATGTAGAGGAAGAGATTAAAGAGACAACTGCCAGACAACTGAGCACCAAGCAGGGCCTTCTTCTGCTTTGAATGATAGCTCAGAGTTAGAGCAGGAAAGGAAAACCTCATCAGGAAGGCTGGGCTCATGTTTTCACCTGAAGGGCAGTGCTTGGCTACAATCAAGGGCTTTTTAAGGGGAGAGCATCTGAAATACCTTGGTACCAGCCACTGGGAGACCAGGGAGACAGAAGTCGTCAGCTGAGGAAGTTTCCCAATAGTATAGTCTTGTTGCTGATTTATGACCTGGATTTACCTCCAGCCACTAAGGCTCCTTCCACAGAGCTGGATAAAATCCCACATTTTCTGCTTTCAACTGGATTATGTGGCAGTGTGGATTCAGATAACTTAGTGTAATTTCTTTGTATCTTGATTTATTTGATTTTTTTTTGAGGTGGGGGGACTACTAAGCTGATTAAGGCCAACATTCTTTTGGTGAAGCTCCTGACATAAAGACATTGCTGGTGACAGGAGGAAAAATTCATGGCCATATAACGCTCTAGAGACTATTTGGAGCCAGCAACTTTGGTCCACTTTGTCTTGCCCCTGATTCACAACCATGGGAATTTCACAACTGCTAGTATAGTGTGCTAAGAGAATTCTAACTGTAGTGTGTTCAGTGGAAATACAAGAGCGCCAGTATAGAATGCTCAAAGCTTAGAGGTTCCTGAAAGACAATATTCTCCCATAGAAAACTGCTTCTCTTTGAAAATTTTCTAAGGAGTCCTTTCTTTCTGTCATATCATAATCACAAGTGGGAAGTATCATATAATCATCATAAGCAGTTGTCCCTATGAATAATCTCAGATCTTCTAAGATCTTCTGGGGAGGCCTGCTCTTGATCCCGCCTGCATCCAAGTGCGATTGGTGGAGACAAGAGTTAGGGCCTTCTCAGTGGTAGCTCCTCAGTTCTGGAACTCTCTCCCCAGTGAAATTAGATCAGGACCCTCCCTCCTCGCCTTCAGAAAGAAAAAGATATGGTTGTGGTACCAGGCTTTTGGGCAGTAATGCAATGCAAAGAATAATCAGGAAATACGTGTTATGACAATCAGAATGGCCACAGTGTAAAATTTTTGGATCATATGATTTTAATATTTATATTAGGATGTTTTTAATGCTTCGTCCTAGTGTTTCCATGTTGTATATGCCTATGATTAATGGTTTTAATGATTTTAATTTATAGTTATATGTCTGTGTTCAGTTATTGTGATTTTATTTTATTATATGTATGTTGGCATTGAATTCTTGCCATTAGTATGTTGTAAACCATTTTGAGTCCCCCTAGGGGTGAGAAAGGCAGTATATAAGTATACTAAATAAATAAATAAACAGGAAAAGACCTTTTCTATGGCTACTGCCAGGCTGGAATTCACTTCCTAAATAACCTATTTTGGCCCCTTCCTTCCTATCTTTCTGAAAATCTTTTTCTGGCAGGCCTTTGAGAAAGGATTTTTTTTTTTTTTAAAAAGGGAAATAGGCCTTGTATGATATGCTGGATTTTTTAAAATAAAAATGATTCATGTTTTTAATTGGTTTTATTCTTTTGATAGTTTAATTTCTTTCTAACTTTTGTATTCCATGAATTTTTATCTGTTGTATGTCATGTTGAGTTTCACATTGCAGGAAAAATAGGGTGTAACAATAATACCAGCAACAAATAACAATAATAGTGATGGTAACAACAGCAATTACCTCAAGTGTGAACAACAGGCCCATGGCTTAGTGGAGTGTGTGACATTAAGTAGGAGTATCTCTTTTCTTAATGCAATATCATACCCAATGTGCAACAAACCTTTTTAATCTAGGTGATATTTGTTATCACCACGGGAGGGATTGGCTTCCCAGCATGGGCTTCCTATATTTACAGCACAGCCAAAAAGTAATATTACTTGGACTAACTGCAAATGAACAAATGTTCTTCTCCCTTTTTTCTCTCCCCCCCCCTTTTTTTTTTGAAAAATATTCAATGAAACTTATAGTTATGTGGCTGTAAATCACATATATAGCAAACAGGTCCACAAACAATGTTGCTGACTCTAAGGACCTCATCACACTATAGCAGTGGTTCTCAACCTGTGGTTCCCCAGATGTTTTGGCCTACAACTCCCAGAAATCCCAGCCAGTTTACCAGCTGTTAGGATTTATGGGAGTTGAAAGCCAAAACATCTGGGGACCCACAGGTTGAGAACCACTGCACTAGAGCATCTATCCAGTTTAAATCTGGTTGCTGCCTTCTGCAAAATTCTGGGGCTTGTAGTTTAGGGGGGGGGGGCTTTAAACAGCTCAGCCAGAGAGTTCCTAGGCCTCACTAAACTACAAGCCCAAGAATACTGTAAGAGGCAGCTATGGGATTTAAACTGCATAGATACTCTAGTGCAGTGGTTCTCAAACTGTGCTCCTCTGGGTGTTTTGGACTTCAGCTCCCAGAAATCCCAGTCAGTTTACCACTGTTAGGAATGATGGGATCTGAAGTCCAAAACATCTGGAGGATCACAGTTTCAAAACCACTGCTCTAGTGTGATGCTATTCTGAGCGTTAAAAATGCCAGGCAGTCTAAGGAAGTGAGATTGCATAGTTCCTGGTGTGCCAATGTTCCAGATTCCAAACAGGAAAGGGATTGTGAGGCTTGGCCATTTGGTTGCATCCTTAAAGAAGCTATTCTGCTTAGTTGCCATTTGAGTAGAACTCCTAAGTGAAGTATGTCAGTACACCCAACATGGTTGGAAGCTTGGATCTAATGCCAAGACCCGTGTTTCAAAACTGAAAAAATGTCCTCTTTGCCTTGCAGATAAAGGGCTATTATTGTGGCTTCCTTGCCCTCTTGCACTAGTGAAGACATCAGTCCCTCCACATTTGCTTTTTTGACTTTTGTGGACTTGATTATTCATAGATTTCATTAAAAATGTCTTCTTTAGAAATGTCTAAGTCCTCCAGTATTACTTTCTTCAGTATTACTTACCCAGAACTGCTTTCTCCAGATTTCTAGGGAGAACACTTTTCTTGGAATTCCTAGGTTCTCCAATGCAATCCTGTGGTCAGCTTCCAATGAAAGTTGACCACAGAGATGTGCTGGAAGACCTATACATTCTTGAAGAGGTGCTCTCTCAGATAAAAACGAGCAATATATTTGTGGTCTTTCACTTTCATAAGAGTCCTCTCCCCTTAACCACAGCAAATGTGGAGAACTGACTGTACTATGGATTGTCTGATTCTGAATTAATGGATTCAATCATCCATGGCCTGAAAATATTCAATTTCTCCAAAAATCTTGTTTTGTCATTTTGTCTAAGGAACATCATATTACCTCATCATTGTATGTGATGGGACCATCCATGGATTTTGGTATCCACAAGGTATTGGAACCAAACTCCTCTGGCTCATGAAGGGCCCTCTGTTCTTGAAGGGCTAGTAGATAGAGTCATAGAATTGTTGAGTTGGAAGAGACCTTGTGGGCCATCCAGTCCAACCCCCTGCCAAGAAGCAGGAAAATTGCATTCAAAGCATCCCCGACAGATGGCCATCCAGCCTCTTTTTAAAAGCCTCCAAAGAAGTAGCCCCCACCACACCCCAGGGCAGAGAGTTCCACTGCTGAACAGCTCTCACAGTCAGGAAGTTCTTCCTAATGTTCAAGTGGAATCTCCTTTCCTGTAGTTTGAAGCCATTGTTCCTCATCCTAGTCTCCAGAGCAGCAGAAAACAAGTCTGTTCCCTCCTCCTATGACTTCCTCTCACATATTTATAGATGGCGATCATGTCTCCTTTCAGTCTTCTCTTTTGCAGCCTAAACATGCCCAGCTCTTTAAGCCGCTCCTGGTGGTGCAGTGGGTTAAACTGCTGAGCTGCTAAACTTGTTGACTGGAAGGTTGCAGGTTTGAATGCTGGGATTAGCGTGAGCTTCCGCTGTCAGCCCCAGCTTTTGCCAACCTAGCAGTTTGAAAACATGCAAATGTGAGGAGATCAATAGGTACTGCTCCGGCGGGAAGATAACAGCGTTCCATGCAGTCATGCAAGCCACATGACCTTGGATGCGTCTATGGACAATGCCGGCTCTTTGGCTTAGAAATGGAGATGAGCACCAGCCCCCAGAGTTGGACATGACTGGATTTAATGTCAGGGGGAAACCTTTACCCTTTTCCTTTGCCTTTGTGTTCCCACATTAGATACAACCATAGGGAAAGAAAGGGGGACAGACAAGCCACCAGAGGCTTCTCTCGTCCTTCTCACCCTGGAGGGAGGCGAGGAGACTGAGCTGGCTTTTGGAGGCAACCAGGGCAGCGCCCGAAGTGGCAATCCTGGAGATTTGCGAGTCTCAGTTCCTAGTGTGTGTCTCGATTCCAAGACTGAGGCATGACTTAGACTGTCTTCCCCACTCCCTGCGATGAGATGGGCTTTTCCCTTCCCGTTTGCGCCCACCCACCCTTCCTTCCTTCCCCACCTTGCGCCATTTCTGCCTCCCACCGCCCCTGGCTGACACACCAAGACGGCTGGCTGCCTTCGGAGATCTCCTTTCCGCCCCCGAACGGCTTCGTGGTCCGAGGAAGGGTCGGAAAGCCACCCCCTCCCCCCTCATCCACCGAGAAGAGACCCGGGCGCTTTGAACGCCTTGTTTTGGGGAGGTGGGAAGCCGCGTCTCTGAACTCCGGTCACGTTTGATGGAGCCCGAAGCATGCGCACATTGCAGAAGCCGAGCACGGAGCTGTCCAAGTGCTGAAATCGAGAGTCCGTGTGTAAGAAGGATCCTGGGCTTTCCCCCCTCCCTCTCATTCCAGCACAAGAAGAGTCCCTCTCCCCACCTTCCCTTTCCCAAGCTCAGCACCAATCATACTCTTTCGATATTTATAAGTTGGTGATAAGGAATAGAGAGAGGGTCGAAGGCAGGCAGTCTCTTCCCTCCAACCCTCGTGCGTATTTTTAAGGACGTTTGGCACCCATTCCGGGAAAAAAAACACCCCACAACCAGCTCCTGAAGACAAGACAGAGCAACGTGGCAGCATTATCCTCCCCCTCTTTTTTTGAGTGTGTGTGTGTGCATGATGTTAAGGTAGAAAAGGATTGAGGAAGGGGGGATTCTGGGGGGAGGGAAGGAGGGAGAGATCCTCCAGTCTTCGGCTAGAGAGAGTGGCCAATTCCAGATGCTTGGTACCTTTTGCTGCTTGGGATGAGCCGGGGTTTCGCCTAACCATGATTCCAAGGACTGGTACTTTTGATTTCCTGCCATCTCCACGACATGCCAAGGAAGGTCTTCTTTTCCTGATTCTAAAGGATTTCAAATTACTGCTGGATTTGGGGATTTAGGCAAGGCGCCCTACTTTTGGACCACCCTGCCACCCTTTCTGATTGCCGCTGGAATCGTTTCTGGGAGATTTTTTTTCCACCTCCCAGGCAGAAAACAGGAGGAATGAACCGACAGCTAGTGAACATTTTGACTGCCTTATTTGCCTTTTTCTTAGAAACACACCACTTCAGGTAGGTGAAATCCTGAATCTTTGCTAACCTGTGATACCATGGGCAGGGATTGACAGCTCCACAGAAACAGAGCACCACAAGCCAGACTTATTTTGCTGAGTCTGGAAAGATTTCATTTGGAATTTGTATAGAGCAGAAGGGGACCGCTTTTTCATTTGGGAAGAGTTGTTGCTTGGGAAGGAATTTTTTATTTTAAAAAAATTGTGAAATTGCATAGGTTCTCTTTCCTTTCTTTCGTTTCTAGTGTTTCTCAACCTTCCCAATCCCACGACCCTTTAATACAGTTCCTCATGTTGTGATGACCCCCAGCCATAAAATTATTTTTGTTGCTACTTCACAACTGTAATTTTGCTTTGGTTGTGAATTGTAATGTAAATATCTGATATGCAAGATGGATTTTTATTCATTAGAAGGAATTTGGCACAAATAACCAATATGCCAAATTTGAATACTGGTGTGGTGGAAGAGGATTGATTTTGTCATTTGGGAGTTGTATTTGCTGGGATTTATAGTTCACCTACAATCAAAGAGTGTTCTGAACTCCACCAATGATAGAATTGAACCAAACTTGGCATGCAGAACTCTCATGACTAATAGCAAATACTGGAAGGGTTTGGTGGGCATTGACCTTGAGTTTTGGAGTTGTAGTTCACCTACATCACTGTGGACTCAAACAATGATAGACCTGGACCAAACTTGGCATAAATATTCAATATGCCCAAATGTGAATGCTGGTGGAGTTTGGGGAAAATAGACATTGACATTCGGGGGTTGTAATTGGTGGGATTTATAGTTTACCTACAATCAAAGAGTATTCTGAACCCCACCAATGATAGAATTGGGCCAAACTTCCCACACAGAACCCCTATGACCAACAGAAAATACTGTGTTTTCTGATGGTCTTTGATGACCCCTCTTAAACCCTCCTCGTGACCCCCTTAGGGGTCCTGACCCCCAGGTTGAGAAACACTAGTATAGAGCACAAGGGGACAGCTTTTTCCTTTTTGGGAAGAGTTGTTGCTTGGGAAGGCTTTTTAAGACAATAGTGAAATTGCATAGGTCCTCTTTTCTTTCTAGTGCGATGGTTATAGACACTGAAATTGAAATATTTACTCAGGTTGTTGGAATGATCCTTCCACAATGTCTCTTCTTTCCAGGTGGTCTATTGTGGTCTAGTGCATACATACACTCAGGATCACTTCAGATGTACTCATTGCCCATTAATACACTTTAACCAGCTTGTTGTATTCACAATCATGATAGTTAATGAATGGCAAGAGGGGATTTCATTGCTGGGTTGTTGTGGTTTTCTGGGCTGTATGGCCATGTTCCAGAAGCATTCTCTCCTGATGTTTCACCTGCATCTGTGACAGGCATCCTCAGAGGTTGTGAGGACCTCACAGCCTCTGTGGATGCCTGCCATAGATACAGGTGAAACATCAGGAGAGAATGCTTCTGGAACATGGCCATACAGCCCGGAAAATTCACAACTCAGTGATTCCAGCCATGAAAACCTTTGACAATACGATTTCATTGCTGTTTAAAGGGTATGGTAACTTGGGTAGTAACCGTATTAACCTATGTTAGAGATGGTTAAGTTGAGATGAGTAAGAAAATGAGTAAGGGAATTGCAGCTCTTCTCGATTAATTACTGTGGGATAAATGATAGCATCTAATGCATGTGGCACAAATCAGGCACACCTTTCCTTCTAGAAATCTAGACGGGAGCCAGCACCCATCAGATTTTGACTCCATCAAGGAATATCTTTAGATTGGACTAATGTAGGATTTTCACCTAAACCGCTGTCTGTCCAGTAGAAAGGAAAGAACAACTCATATATTAATGATCTACTCCTTTTATTATTTGTATTCAATGGTTACTTCTTTGGGAGACATTTGTTTTATGAGTAACAAGTATATTAATAGTATGCTAACAACTTAATTTTTAGGCTGGAATCACTTGGTTGCTGTGAGTTTTCTGGGCATGGCCATGTTCCAGAAGCATTCTCTCCTGGTGTTTCACCCACATCTATGGCAGTTATCCTCAGAAGTTGTGAGGTCTGTTGGAAACTAGGCAAGTGAAGTTTATGTATCTGTGGAATGTCCAGGGTGGGAGAAAGAACTCTTGTCTGTTTCAAGCAAGTGTGAATGTTGCAATTGGTCACTTTTATAAGCATTGAATGGCCTTGCAGCTTCAAACCCTGGCTGCTTCTTGCCTGGGAGAATCTTTAGTTGGGCGGTGTTAGCTGGCACTGATTGCTTCTTGTCTGGAATTTCCACAACACACACACACACAATAAACAGGGAAATTTCAAACATGAAACAATCAAGGTCAGCTAGCACCTCCCAACAAAAGCTTCCCCCAGGCAGGAAGCAGCCAGGCTTTGAAGCTGCAAGGCCATTCAGTGCTAATTAAGGTGGCCAATTGAAATATTCACACTTGCCTCAAACAGACATGAGTTCTTTCTCCCACCCTGGATATTCTACAGATATATAAACCCCACTTGCCTAGTTTCCTACAGACTTCACAACATCTGAGGATGCCTTCATAGATGTGGGCAAAATGTCAGGAGAGAATGCTTCTGGAACATGGCCATACAGCCTGGAAAACTCATAGCAACCCAACTTAATTTTTAATTAGTGGCACGGATTGGCACATTTGAATAAAACTATGTGCTTTTGAATTCATAATAAGCATTAACCCATGGTATTATTACTTATTCTTAACTATTCACCAGGTTAACCTAATGCCTCTCCATTAGTTAAAAAGAATTGCCATGTCCTCTTTAGCAGTATTTAACATGAAAATCAGGTGTAGTAGTTTGTATGTTGGGCTACAACTCTGGAGACCAGGGTTCAAATCTCCACTCAGCCATGGAAACCTGCTCAGTGACCTTGGACAAGTTACATTTTCAGCCTCAGAGGAAGGAAAGGGCAACTCCCTCTGAACAAATCTTGCCAAGAAAACCCCAACCTTGGTTGTCATAAGTTGGAAGGCACACTAGAACAACAAAAACAAAAACAATATCGTAAAACTTGATGAGGTTGGAACTCTTTTCTCTTTCCTAGTGCACAAATCAGGAATAGTGTTCAGCATTAGATATAATGCCCTTGAGAATGTGGACCCTCTTCATATTTAACCAGTTTTATCACATTTTAAAAATAGCACATGCATACAGAAAATTGCAAAAGACCCTATGAGAGGATTACTTTTAATCCTTATTAGATGTTGTATTAAAACCAGCATGAATTAGAAGTACACATTTTTGACACAATGGAATATATTAAACTCTATGAGTCAGTATACTTTATGACAATCCATTCCCCTTGTTAGTCCAGATTTTATTCATTTCAAATTCCTTTCCTTGTATTTCTTTGGGGGAAATGCCTAACGTTTTACATGGTGAAATCTGTAACGAGCATGGGAGTGCAATTAACACCAAATAGGATATAAATTGATGTGGATGTTGCGGAGAAAGACTGTTATCCATGCTTGATGTGGGCTGATGGGAAATTAAAATCTTCACATCTGGCCAGTTCCCAGAGGAAATAAACAGACTTGGAAAAGAATCAAGTCATTTAATTATGGCCTATTAAGATTTCCACTGTATCTGTGCTTTTGTATGAGTCTGGACACTAACAGCCAGTTTTGCCATGCAGTCTTTTAAAAAGCTACCATGAACCCAGATCTATAAAGCAGAGGGCATTAAGTGGGTGTCACTAGATGTAAACCAAGGGCTACAGTTATAAATGGGAAATAATTCTGTAAGAATTTGAATTGAATTCCAATATCTGACTTTTAAAAACCTGATTCCTCAAAAGTTGTGATGTTCAGATTCCTCAGCACTTGAGAAGTACATTGTGTTACAGCAGTGGTTCCCAACCTTTTTTTGACCAGGGACCACTTTAAACAGGAACAACTCTCCAACATTAGTACCAAAGGGTTACAAATCAGTTTTTGGTCAACTTTAGACTGGGTTTGGGATGCCGATTCAGAAAATTACATTGGATAGACTATATTAGCTCTAGTTTCTGATACAGAACATATGCCATGGTCAACAATAGGGAAGGAGTGGCAGGAGCAGAAATAAAATAAAATAAAATAAAATAAAATAAAGAGGAAGGAGGCTCGCACACCAGATTTTTTGTCCTCACGGCCCATTGGTGTTCTGCGGCCCATGGGTTAAGAACCACTGTATTACAGGAAATCGTTTTTCCATATGATCAACATGTTGCACTAGATTTATCTTGTGAAAATGATGTGAATACATGATGGAATCATTCTTCATAATAATTCCAACCATTTTTAAAAAGCTTATTATTTTTTTAAAGGATGACTTTCTGTAAAGAACATGATTCCAGATCTGGAAAATCTCCTGCACAGACATTGTCTCCTTCAGATTTTTTGGACAAGCTGATGGGGAGAACGTCAGGTTATGATGCAAGAATAAGGCCTAATTTTAAAGGTAAGTCATTTCTGAGTCCATTAAAAATTAACAGGATGTAAAGATGTAAAATGTAAGCTATAACAAATGTACATAAAAGTCTTAGGTGAAGTAGACTAGACCAAGTTTCCCAACCTGATGTTTTATAATGGTTTTGGACTAATTTCCAAAACCAACAGTCATTTGTGTTATAAAGTAGGGATGATGGAAGCTGTGATTAAAAAATATTATGCAGTGGTTCTTAACCTGTGGGTCCCCAGATGTTTTGGCCTTCAGCTCCCAGAAATTCTAACAGCTGGTAAACTGGCTGGGATTTCTGGGAGCTGTAGGCCAAAAAACCTGGGAACCCACAGGTTGAGGACCACTGCCTTATGGGGTGCTGAGCTGGGAAAGTTAGTTCTAGATTTAGGCATTTATATGGCCTGGTTCTCATAAGCATGCCTATGCAGTAATGGAAAAAGAATTATCTTAAAAGTATGGTAGGGGTTTATAGATGAAGATAGATAGAGAGAGAGGGGGGGTGAAGGGGGGAGGTATTTTATATTTGTTTTATTATAATATGTGTATTTATGCTTGTTTTACTCTGTTGTTGGCACTGTGCTGTGCCAGTTGATAGCCGCCCTGAGTCCCTCTGCGGAGGTTTAGATAGGACGGGATACAAATGCCCTAAATAAATAAATAATAATTAATAGGTGAAACCACAAACAAAATTGTCACATCACTTGCAGCTTTGGGGGTTTTGATGTTGTTGTTGTTGCTGTTGCTGTTGAAATAATACACACAAGCAGTTGTGAGTCATCAGGACTTGGTTCACACATATACTTGATTTCAAGCAGCTGAGCTCTGTACATTTGATGGATGATGTGTGAGTTTGATTCAACTGGAAATAATTGTCTCAAAGTGATGTCAAGCAAGATGAAAGTCCCACTTATAGTATTAGATATGTGATGCCCTATTCATCAGCAGATGCTGCCATTCTCAAGTGATGATCACACATGTGTGAATCAGCTTCAAATATTCAGTAATAATCAAATGATAGAGCTGTAAATTGGCCATGAGTTGCCTTGTAATAAGTCTGTGGAACTTTGCTGGTTTCAACAGATGGATTACAGGATGACTCCAAAGAAGTGTAGGTGACTGATTTTCATATGAAAGTGTGTTGCTTGGTAATATTAAACTGCATTTCAGAACATGACCTCCATATACCAGCCTGCCTGTTTCTAGAGACTGCCAAAGAGGGTTCTCAAATGAAATAACCCAGGGTACAAAAAAGAGAGGAGAACATCTTGGTTCTGTTTTTCCAACTGTAGCATGACCTTTCTAGCAGCTCAAAGCCCCTCTTTTTGTCTAGTATTTTAATTTTCCAAATTTACCCACTTTATACTATCAGTTGTTTTTCTTTGACTCAATTACAATGATAAGAATTTGGTTTTTATTGTATAGTTATACTTGTACGAAGCACTGGCATCTGTAAGAATGAAGGGTGGTTCTAAAGTGTTAAAAATATGAAAAAAACACCTACTAATAGAGGTAGTATAAAATTAAAGTAACTTTCTTTGATATTTTACTTCCCTATCCATTGGTAAACAGAAGCAGATCCAAACAAAACATACGTAGCTACAGTAATTGTTGATTTTTAGTCAAAACATATGGTATTTAAATTCTGCACCCCAGATTGATCTGTGGAGGTCTACCAGACTCTGTAAAATTCACTGTTGAGGGTGAACTAGGGGTGACAAGAGTGAATTTTAACACTGAGCAGTAAACCACTATCTGTTATCAATCTATGAAACTCTTAGAGAGAGAGAGAGACCACTCTCAGGCTGATATATGGAAGCATTTTATTGTCTGGTCCGTACTGAGATCTTCATTATGCTTGGCCATTCTGACTTTGATACATTGAATAGTGACCCATTTCAGTAATTGCTGAACAATAGAGGATTCAGAACATGAGAAGTCCAGAGTAGTATTCATGTAGACATTAACATCCAAATGAGAAGTGTTTCTTTCTTCTAGTGCGTAAATATATCATTTTCCATCTATATCAGTAGCTATGGGGCAGCTGAGTGATAGAAGACTATGTTTGCAAAAATATCACAGTGCCACCTTTTTTATAAGGACGTGTTAGGAAATGTGTTGATATCTTTTGAAAAGTGGCTATCGAGTGTACTGGTTTGTTTCTCAAGTACACTCCATAAGAGCAGACTGACTTCTATCTCTGATATATTCATTTATCATCTGGTTGTTCCTGTTAATCCTTTGTAGGGCTCTGTTGGGATCGTAAAGTGAAAATGACAAAATATGGGAATAAATGTGGATCAGTGCAGATCATCTTGTTGTGAAACAAAAGCCCCATTTAGTTGTTCTCTCTGGCTATATGAGGAAGAAAGTGGAGACAAGTATGCTAGTCCTTTGATTGTTCTCACTCTCTACATGTGGAGGATAACTGTCTGCAAACTCTCTTTGTGTACAGAGGGTGAAAAAAATAGGGAGGTGGGGGGCACATGCCTGCTTTCCCCTGCTCCCCTTTTTGTATGTAAAATATACACATGAGGTGAATGTCTGAAAGAACTAGTCTCCATTAATGAGTCTTCACATGAAGCAATGAGATATTCAAGGCTGATCAGAAATGTATAGATATCCAGAACAGGATCTTTTTGGTGGAAGCCCCACATCTCTGGAATTGATTTCTTGTAAGGAACAATGAGTCTTCATTTTTTAAAAAGTTTAATCTTTTTTTTACCACCTACTTTTTATTTGTTTCTGTGATAGAGATATGAAGTGCTTTTTGCAAATTGGCATGTTTTCACCAAATTTTGCAAATTGCTTTAGAGGAGTAGTTTCCAACCATATTTTGACCAGGGACCACTTGACTAGGGACCACTTTGATCAGGGACTATTTGACCAGGGACCACTCTCCAACATTAGTACCAAAAGGGTTACAAATCTGTTTTTGGTCAATTTTAGATTTGGTTTGGGGTGCTGATTCAGAAAATTGCATTGGATAGACCACATCAGCTCTAGTTTCTGATACAGAGCATAAGCCATGGTCAGTGACAGGGAAGGAGTGGCAGGTGGTGTGAAAGGAGCAGAAATAAAATGATACAAATAAAATAAATAAAGAGGAAGGATGCTCGAGGATCAGATTTTTGTCCTAGCGGCCCACTGGTGGTCCTCGGCCCACAGGTTAAGAACCTCTGCTTTAGGGGAAGTGTTGCACTCTGAAGGGCAATTCAAAAATCAGTTCCAGAGTAATGGTATGAAAGGCTAAGGAGGAAATGTGTGGCATACTAGCTATCAATTATTGTGCAATGGCAGTTTATGAGCTGAAGGGACAATGGTATAGGGGAGCCATGACTTGCAGGATCAATGCACTAGCATTGTTTTTATTAGCATAGATGACAATGTAATCTGTCAATCCCCTCAGACTTTCCTGCTCATTCAGAATTTAGCTGCAATCCTAATGCTACCTGAGGAATAAGATCAACTTTACTAGCAACAATATTATTGAGAGCTATCTCTGTTGTAAAGCAAATACATGGTGAGATCTCTAGATCTTGAATGCGCAACTAAGATCAATTTACCATTCTCCACACTCTTGGAAAATAAAATAGTCAAAACTGGCTTGTTGACTTGGTGTTCTTTCATGGTGCTAGGAAAAAACTTGCTAGAAAATCCTGATCTATTGATGTTACAAAATTTGGAAACCTGTTATACCCCTATCTTTCCTTTTCTCATGCAGTCTTGGGGCTCTCAAACCAAAGTTCAGCCTGCTAGCCACACGTTGCCCTTTACTAGATTGCTATCCTATAACTCTCAGTTGATCCTAATAAAGGAGATATTATTTATTGTACTACTTCTCTGTAGGTATCTCCATGTATACATATGGCAGAACAGAAAGTAATGAGATAGAGAAACAGAAAGAAGGAGGTAAACAAACAATCAACATGTCTACCTACATTTTTGGAGTTGGGTCATAAAGTCTTCCATGATAAGGGCATGTACTTCAGAATGTACCAATTTGACTCTCGTTTCCTTTGAAAGGCTTTAGGGGCATTTTTGCCATCCCAGATCTCTTAAAAAATCTTCCCATTTGGTATCAAGATGCAGTGTGTATCTGTGTATAAAGTAACTAGTTTAGCATCAGGAAAGAGCAGAAATGTTTGGGACCCTGCATTCCCACCACTCCTTGCAATCCTTCTCTGACATACCACTAAAAAATCCCTCTACTCCTTCAATACATTGAACAGTAGTAGAATTTTCTGTTTACACAGACAGGAAAATGTTTAAGTTCTTATGGCCTCCAAAACATTTTCCCAGGAACTGTAGGATGGCTCTTTACATAACAGAATACAGAATGCTGAATTGCATTTTAAAGGGTCACTTTCTCCATGCTGCATGCTGAAAATCTGGTTGAAAATTGCTGTAGATAAAAGTTACTTGCATTGCTTTTATTACAGAATCTTTGCAAGGCACGTGCTGCTCCTGCCCATGTACTTAAGGCTTGGCAAAAACTAGAAACCTTCTTATTGAGGGAATTCAAACAAAAGCTTACATTTGTACATCAAAGAAGCTAAAAGGTGGCTCTTCAGCTGCTGTTAGACTACATCTCCCATCAGCCCTAGATAGCCTAGTGAGAGATGCTGGACTTATGGTTGGGATGGGAAACCCAAAGTTGCTCTTCTCTGTTGTATAAACTCCTTCAAGTGAGCTTAACCTTGACATTTTGTCTTGCATCCAGATGGGAAGTAATGTCATCCTAAACAGTATTAAGATAATGTAAAGTTACACAAAATTAGCAGGATTAAAACCATGCTGTCAGCACCATTGCATGAGCAGAGCCAGTAGTATGGTTGTTGTACAACACGAGCATTACATCCCTATGTATGTCACATTGTGTATCATCATCATCATCATCATCATCATCATCATCATCATCATTGATTAGCATGGTTTCATATCATGCCAGCTGTATAGCACTGCTATAGTGAAGTTACATGTTATGACCTCTTCACATGGCC